AATATTTCTGGTAATTTGTTACCGGTTTTGTTGTTTAAATAATAACAAAATCGGTAGTGCCTTTTAGCCATATATTAAGGCGTTGCACGTAATCATTTCCTCAATCTCTCCCTTTTTGATATAACAAAACAATTGAAAAATTATTTTTGGCAAAACTCTCCCTTAATAAAATGTTTAATGAAAAATATACAAATTGTTGGAAAATATGTGAAAATGTTCAGCTCACTCTTTTTCATTAAGAAATTAAAATTTTTAAATCATACTTCTCTCTCTTTTTGTTAGATAAAAAAGAATTCAACTTTAAAGTTAAAAAATAACATTGGAGAGTAAGTGGTGAATTTGACATAAAAAAACATTTGAAAAAAAAAATAAAGCTCCACCTCAAAGAGTGCATTCCAAACAAAAATTGACTTTCAAAAGAGTAACAAAATGTTAGTAACACATGAAATTCAATATATCAAGTCTAAAATACTTTATGCAATACCAAATTGAAATTAAGTGCATATGCATAAAGCTTTCCAAAATGTTATGCATTTGAAAAATGGATATAAATTGTTAGAAAGATATCATTTATAAAATCACTTGCATAACCATTTAAAATCAATTTTGATATCATTTAAAATTAAGGTAAAAAATTTAAGGTTTGTAAAATTAAAGCATTTGAAAAGTTGATATCAATTGTTAGAAAGATATCATTTGCATTGAAAATCATTTTTGACCAAAATTCATTATGATTAACTAAAAATTATGAAAAATCATTAAAATTTTAAAATGTTCATTATAACACATTTTTCAACATACATGAGATTAAAAACGATGCATAATCATTTAAATTCAAAAACTCATGCATGCATAAAGCTAAATGAGCAACCAAATAATCAAAATAAAAAACATTAAGCTTAGAGGTTATTCATTCCTTTTCAAGTGTGGCTAGAACAGTTGAGTATCTTTATCTTCATCATCAATGCTCTCATACACCTACAAGAGACATTTAAGTAGATTTCGGTATCCAAATTGCTTTGGATCCTTGAACATTAGTTTCAATGCTCCTTGTTCCCTTGGGAACCCATACTTGTCTAATTTTAAAACTTTTTCCTTTCTTCAAAGGACAAGTATGTTCCTTGTGACCATAAAAATGACAATGTGAGCATTTTGCCATTTTTAAACATAATTAGTTGTTTTGAAAAATTAATTTTTTTTTCTTTTGTTATGTTCTCAAGCTTAACTTTCAAATCAAAATTTTCTTTTTCTAAATCATTGATTTTAACTTTTGAAAGCTCTAAATCATTTTTCAAAATTTCATTTTGATTTTCAAAATCAACTTTGGCTTTCAAAATCAAATCATTTTCAACTTTAAATTTTGAAATTAATTTCTTATATTAGGAATTCATTGTCTCAAATTCCAAACACAACTCATTATAAGCATCTTGTAACTCATCAAAAGAATGTGAATTTAAATCATTAGAGTTAGAAGATACCATTGAATCTCCTTCGATGGCCATGAAGCATATGTTGGCTACTTCATCTTCATCATTGGAGTAATCTTCATCACTCCAAGCCATCACAAATGCCTTTTTCTTGCTTGATCCCTTTTTCTTTAGCAGAGGACATTCATACTTGACATGCCCCGTTCTTTGAAAATTGAAGCACACCGGGGGACCCTTCTTCTTGCTTGATTTATGTTTCACTTCCTTGGAAGACATAAATCTCTTAAAATTTTTGAAGAGCTTGACCATCTCTTCTTCATCATCGTCTTCATCCACTTCATCATTTGAATCTTCATAGCTCTCATTAGTGGATTTGAAAGCAATGAATACCTTCTTCTTCTTCTTGTTTTGCTTCTCTTCATCTTCTTCCTCTTCCTTCACCATCAACTCATGAGTGAGAAGAGAATCAATCAACTCGCCGAGAGTGAGAGACTTTAGGTCTCTAGCTTCGATAATAGTCGTCTTCTTCGATTGCTAAGACTTTGGAAGATAGTATATCATCTTCCTCACAAGCTTCTTATTAGAGATTACTTCTCCAAATCCCTTGAGACCATTGACAATCACGAAAAATCTATCCGTCATAGCTTTGATGTCTTCATCGGGCTTCATCTTTAAATTCTAGTAGCTATGGTTGAGAAGACTTATCTTAGTTTCCCTCACTTCATCGATTCCTTCATGAGTGACTTGGAGCTTATCCCATATCTCTTTGGCATTGGAACAAGAGGAGACTCTTCCAAATTCATCCGGGCCTAATACATAAAAGAGAATTTGTATAGCCTTAGCATTAAGTTGGAACTTCTTCTCCTCTCCATCACTCTAATCGTCCATCTCATCGGTTGGAATGATGTAGCCTTTCATAATAGAGTTTCAAGCTTCTAGATCGTTAGCTTGAATAAAGAGCATCATCCTATTCTTCCAATAGGCATAATATGCTCCATTGAAGTAGGGTTTAGGGTTTAGGGTTATAAATTTTTAATGTAGTAGTCACCAGAGGTTGAAGTCATTTCTTTTTCGGTTGCATCGGGAATCATTAGAGCTTCTTCGAGGATCGTCTCAAGGATGTTAAACCTTCTCATGAGTTAAACTCTGATACCAATTGTTAGGATTTGAAGAGACTCAATTGAACAACCAAATGTGTAAGGGGTTAGTTGGCAATAGTTTAATTAGGGAGTAAGGAGAGTAAAAGATAAGACAATGAACACAAAGATTTATAGTGATTCGACTTCTCAACCAAGTCTGCATCAATTACCTAAGCTCATCACTTAGGATTTTCTAACAAATCTACCAATTTGTTATTTTTCAATGATCAAGAATAACCTTTATAACTCCCTATCTTTTCAATTGGCTAAGATAAAACCAAACCCCTTTTACAAAAGGTAAAAAAAATAAACAAATAAACCTCTTAAAGGTAGGTGTTTACAAATAATTAAGCTCACACAAATACAATATTTACAAGAGAGATTAAAATAAGAATGGAAAAATATTCTCTTTTGTTTGATTGCTTAGATAGGTGTTCTTAACCCTTATCCAAGTGTCCTCAACTTGTATTTATATGTTGGAATATTGTTGTGATTGTTTCTAGTCGTTCAAAGTGTTTTGGAGCCGTTGTGGATCAATTTTCGTGCAAAATAAAGCTGCCCAGAACAGAGGGTATCGGTACTCCTAAATGGAGTATTGGTACTACCTTTGTTATATTTAAATCAACTAGCCGTTGGGGCCTAATGGTATCGATACTATGCCTATGGTATCTATGCTACTATGTAGAGTAGTATCGATACCTCTTTGGGTATTGGTACCATTTTGCATTTTGGAATTTGAGCAATACTGGTAGTATCGATACTACCTAGTGAGTATCGATACTTCCCTTACCTTTGGTATCGGTATTGTTCATTAAGTATCGATACTGTAAAAATAGTATCGGTACTACTTATCCAGAAAAACATTTTGTGCACAATTCCAAGCTTTTAAATGGACTATGAATTATTTTTGGAAACTTTGAAAAACTTTGAATAAATTCAATTCAAGTCCAAAAATATTTTGCCTTATTTGTCATATCAAAATATAGTTCAACAATTGTAAATTTGTAACATAATGTCATATCACCATTGTAAATTTTCGTCCAATTAAACTGGGTCTTTACTTAGCTATAATTTAATTATTATAGGTTTAATTGATCAAATTATAAGATTTAAGGGATAAATCAAAAGTTATTAAAATTTTCGAATGAAATTGATAAATGCACAAAATACCACGATCATTTTCAATTTCCGAGAAGTTGCACTACATCTGAAAAACCTTAAGTGTTCAAGGACTTCTCTTCGATTTTTCTTAATTTCCTTTTATTTTTCTTTTACTTTGTAAATTGCTTCTTCATGCGCCACTTTGGATACCTGGAATTTTTTCTCTAATTTGATCATTCAGGCTTTGATCAAATTACAAGATTTACAAGTTTAATTAGCACATCAGTACAATCACAAAGATAACGATAAATAGAAGATGGGAGATTACGTAAAGAAAGATAAAATTTAATTCCAAATTTGAATATTCACACATTCCACATAATCGAACCAATAAAACTAATAGTATGTTATATCATTCAAAATAATATCAAGTCATTTCACCCGAATTGATGTATTGAATGCCATATCACCTAAATCGATGACATCACATCAAACCAATGATGTGACAAGTAATACATTAAACAAATCAATGTCACATCGCATACAGCACCCAAACAAATGATATATCAAATTATCACATCACTCAAACTAATAATATAATAATATGACAAATGACACATCACCTACCATCATTGATTCAAGTAACATATCACATCACCTAAAACAATGACATATCACATCACCCAAACTGATGACATATCACATACCACACAACCTAGATCAATGACATAATATATGACATGTCACTATAGTATATGACATGTCACTCAAATCAATGACATTACATGACATGTCACCCAAATGAATACCCCATCATTGTTTCAAATGACATGTCATGTGACATTAATTTAGGTGACATTACAAGTACCACATCTTAGTTTAACAAGCCACATCACTTGAATCAATGACATGACACATATTCCATCACCAATTCAAATGACGTCACATGTCATCTCATCAATTTGAGTAACATAACATTTGACACAACACATGCCATCAATTCAAGTGACATGACATATACTACATCACCTAAAATAATATCACATGTCACATCACTCAAATTGATGATATCACATGCCACATCATCCAAACCAATAACACGGCATGATGTCACTCAAATTGATGACATAAAATGTGACACATCATTAGTTCGAGTGACATGGCATGTGCCATGTCATTGGTTCAAGTAACATGGTCCATGTCATTGATTCGGGTGACATGGCATATAACATGTCACCCAAACTCAAAGTAATTATTAAAAGACACAATATATAAAAATTAAATATTAAAGTAATGACTTAAATTAATAAACAAATAAATACATAAAAATTGCTCGAATTAGATAATTCACTTCCGCCCCTAATTTTCCTATATCTTTGGTCAACAGACTTTCCCCCTCGCCCTCATTTCAGTGCTGCAAACCCAGAAAGAGAGAGAATGTATCGACTTTCTCCATCTTTTTCACGTACCAAAAAGGAAGGTATTTAAAAGCAAACCTTTGTTGTACATTCTTAGGAGGAAAAACTTGCTGCTGACTCCCCAGTTTCAGCAACACTCAAATGTAACAATAACAGTTAATAGTGTCAATCTTGTGATTTACCGATTAATCGAATAGCCGGGACTGGCTTCTGAAGTACTGATGTACCCTGGAAGATCATCATTTGGTAGTCCCTTTTATACTTGTTTATCTGTTGCAATATTACATACAACGTTACGATACAATTCATCCCATATAACAGACCACATTCGTTTGATTTCAAAATTCAAGAGAAACGGGTAGGCAATGCTTATTACCTCTTCCTGGGTTATCTTGCCAAATCTGAACTTCTTTGTCCAAATGGATTCCGCCTCATCAGCTGCAGGGAGCAGAAGCATTTTCACTTTTAGGAACCCGAGCAGCTTCTCGATGCAATTGAAAAGGCAGTGGAAATAACCCTGCAATGTTTATATCTTTTAGTTAGACCATCGTGTGTCCTAATCAAAATCAAGACCTTTGATGGGAGGAAATGTTTTTCCCCCCCCAAGAAAGCAGCATTAGTTACCTGTCCTTGACTTTCAGTACTAGTTGCAACCAAGGGAATTTCAGCCACTTCATGCCCGAAAATCCGGAAAATACCAGCTGACACAACCACTTGACTACGAGACACGAAAAAGGAATCATGTCAATTAGATAAGCCCAAATTAAATTATAGAAGATGACAACGGAAATGAAACTCAACCAAAAAACTAAAAAGAAAAAACGAATCTCACTTGACAGTTAATATTGCACAATACATGCCGCCAAAATCTTGTCCCTTGAAAGTTCTCCTGCAAAACCAATTATGCCTCGTTTGGTTACATAAATATTGATGTATGTTTAACTATTACACAAGTATAAAAGGTTTTTTTCATGACAGAATAATTAGTACAACTTAAAATTGAAAATAGAAGGATAATTATAGACTCTAGAAAAAATCAAGCCTCTTCAAAATAAGAAAAATATTTCCTCCCTCTTTGTTCAAATCAAGTCATTTGTGGCTAAAAATTACTGGATAAAATCAGTTTATTACTAATTAGTGTACTTCACTTATTCAATAATAATAATACTCATATCAAACAAAACATTAATGATATTATTCACACCGCATAATCAGCATGCATCACAAAGATATGCATAAATGATGAGTATTGCTTACCCATAAACCATTGATGGGATGAGATCCCCTTTACTCGATCCAGAGTCACTTATAGGATCAAAGCGCTCCTAATAAACCACAAAAGCCACATCATAAATCGATTAGTATTTTAGTCCTACAGCTTTAGGTTCACATCAAAGACTCAAATCAACACAAACTACAAAGAAGATGTCTCATGCGTTAAGTGCACCAAGGCAACTACAAGACTTAAAAGCTTACATGACGGCCATACAGGCTTTAAATAGCTGGCCATTCATCTAGTTGGATAATGTTACATACTATGAAAGATCAGCAATAAATTTGTTAGAGGTTTAGGCAGGAAATAATATACATGGAAGATCGTGACAGCCTTTGAAAGTGTTACTCTAGTGTCATCAGAAGGCATTTTCCCACTAAGAACCCTCCATCTTATATCAAGTTTGGCCTTGCTCTCCAAACCACCTTCTGCATGCTTCTTCCTCACAACATGCAGAGATGAATCAGGAAGCTTCTCTTCTCCACGAACTATCAATTTCTGTAAAGCAGTATGAATTCTATTGCAGTCCGCACAACAAAACCAATCTCCTTTCGGTAACTCCTGATAAGATCGTGGTGTCACTATTCATAAACAGAGGGAAACAGAAAAACCATGCGATACTTATAACAGAAGAAAAAATGGGCACCTTAAGATCATCCATGTTATGATCCCTCAGACAACCCACATGATACTCTCTCTCACACTGAAAGAAAATAAACACAGATCATTCAGTGACAATTACAGCAGACAACCTAAGCACAAACAGAACCAAAAAGATACCTGATCACAAAGTATAACAGTACGAGGACCAAACCCTGACTTGCTAAAAGCATGACCTCTGCAAATATCAACATCATGTTAACAAGAGAAAATAAAGTTCAAAGTAGAGAGAGAGAGAGAGAGAAGCACCAAATAATCAAGCCTCGACATGAGTGCAGCACACAGAACGATGAGATCAGACATTATCAATTTGCAAATAAAGAACACATGTTTTGAGGTAAGACTTAAGAGTTTCTCACTGATACAGATTCTGAATAAATCAAATCAGAGATTTCAGTTGTCTAGAATATTTCAACTCTAGATCATAATGTTAGATTTAAAAATGTTCACCGCTTTAACCAGGGTAACTGGATATATATTTTCAGACATAAATGTTATAATAAGACTTAGCACTATTTAAGGTAAGTGGAAGAGGAGGGAGTTTACAGGATGAAGATTAATTCAAAGCAACACAGAAGTATCCCAACCTGCATAGCACACACACACTGGGAACTTCTGCCTCTGGAGTTTTGATAATACGAATACATCTCTTTTTTTTTGATAGGAAAAGTAGGTCTCATAAAAACCTCCTTCTAAGTAGCCCTTACCATGAGGTCAGAACCTACTAGGGGAAGGAGGAATAGAGAACCTTAATATATTGATAATGTAAAAAATTACATAAAACTAGAACCACTCCTTTAAGATACATAAAACTTAAGCACACTCTTATAACGCCTTGATTAAAAACCTCCGAACTCAGTACTAAAAAAGTGACCCACTACCCAATCCCCTCCTTTGCAAGCAAATCTGCCTCGCAATTACAGCTTCTCGGAATCCACCTCACAATGACCTCATACTCAGAAACCGCATCCGCAATATCCTTGACAAAATTTAAAAGAAAAGGAGGAACTGACTCCTGATATTTCAACCACTCCACAGCTAGCTTGCAATCAGATTCAATAATAAGCCTTCCCTTCAATACCCATTCTGATGACACAAAGATGTCTATTCCTCTTTTGATAGCTTTTAACTCTGCTAAAATAATAGGAGTAGGCCCTATTTTTTCTGAAACGACATCAATTTAATCCGATTCCAATCTCTAAGAATGCCCCCAATTCCTGCTAACAACCCAACCCTACTAACTGCTCCATCCACGTTAAACTTAAAAAAATCGACTGGAGGAGGACTCCAGTAAACCACAGGCCTGTTCGAATCAAGAGAAGCTGAAATATTATCAGCCAATGAAGGATCACCAATTAGAGAGTCCACTTGAATAGAGGATAAAGGATACTTAGCTAGGAACCATTTCGCAAGCCTTAACCTGACTGTGAAAAACAATGAGGATGTGTCCAGCTTGCCTCTTTCAAAAACAATTTCGTTTCTCATCTTCCAATCGACCATAAAACAGCCCCCGGAATAAACTTCCACATATTAGAAAATGGCCTAAGAACAGACCATGAAATTAGAATTGATGAAGGATCAGTAGGTAAGGCTAACTTGATACCCCAGTAGGCTATGATTCTGTTCCATAGTACCCAGGAAAACTGGCAGTAAATAAACAGATGCTGAACTGATTCCTCTGCTTGATTGCAAAAGGGGCATAGAGAGTCCTCCCCTAAGTGAACCCCCCTTTTCTTCAATTCCCCTCTAACCGCTACTTTATTAAGTGATAGTTGCCAAAGGAAAACCTCTACTCTAGGAGGAACCAGACCTTGCCAAACACATTTGTTCCACCTAAAGTTATCCTCATCCACTGAGTAGAAAGATTTCGTGCAAGCTTTAACGGAATACAAACCCTCGCCCGCACCAACCCAAAGCATGCAATCCTCCAAAGATTCATTTAATTTGATAACATTGAGCTTGTCCAATAGATCAACCAGCTGAGCCACTTCCCAATCGCATAGATTCCTCCTAGTCTTAATATTCCACTCCCAACCATTCAAATCAAAACTACCAAATTCAGCAACCTTACCCCTTGATTTGTTGACAGAGCAAAAATCCTAGGAAAAAGAACTTTCAATGGAAAATCCCCCAACCATGTATCTTTCCAAAAGAAAATCGAATTGCCATTCCCAACTTGTAACCTCGCATGAGATCTAATGCATCCTCCAAAGAAATCATCCTTCATGTAGCTATTCACAATACCTCTCCAAATCCAAGAGTCCTTATGGGAGGAGACTTTATTGACATCCATAGAAAGACAACTAACACTATGTTTAGAACATAAGAACTTTTTCCACAAAGATTCTTTTTCGTTGGCAAACTTCCACACCCACTTTCCCAATAGTGCTCTATTAATAAGCTTCAAATCAACAACTCCTAGACCACCTCCACACTTCGGTTTACAAATTTTATTCCAACTCACCCAATGCATTTTCTTCTTTTCTTCTCCTCCACCCCATAAAAAATTCGCCATCAAAGAGTTTAATTTTTGACAGATTTTAGCTGGAATCTTGAAATAGCGAGATAAAGATAGGTAAAGAGGATAAAACCGACTTAATAAGCACCAATCTACCGGCCATAGACAAAGAAGAAGCTTTCCATCCCGCCAATTTCTTATCAAAGTTAGCTAGGACTGGCTCCCACAGTTTCTCACAGTTTCTTTTAGCCCCTAGCGGAAGGCCTAAATAGACTGTCGGAAATGAACCAATAGAGCAGCCAATGTCCCTAGCCCAAATTCTCAGTGTGTCCTCCTCCACATTAATACCATACAATTTACTCTTAACTAAATTAAGATGAAGCCCCGTCATAAAACTAAAAATCATCAACACTCGTCTAACGTTTTTAATTTGAGTGATGGAGGCTCGACAAAAATAATTAGGTCATCCGCAAACTGAAGATGGGTCAAATTGAAACTGTTTTGCACATTTCCAAAAGAAAACCCTTGAAATAATCCTAATTCCACAGCTTTATTTAACATCATATGAAGGAGTTCACCAACCACATTAAACAAAAGAGGAGAAAGACTACATCCTTGTCGCAAACCTTTAGCAATATGAAACTCTTTTGTAGGAGACCCATTCAGTAGAATAGATATAGAAGCTGTAGAAATACACTTATTTATCCAAGAACACCACCTTTCTCCGAAGCCCATCTCCTTCATAAGCCTTAACAGAATCTGCCAATCCACGGTGTCATAAGCTCTGCTAAAATCCACTTTGAAAACAACCCCCTGCAGCCCTTGTTTCCTCCAATAATCTATGCCTTCATTTGCTAAACAGGCGCAATCCAACAATTGCCTCCCCGGAATAAACGCAAACTGTGTAGGGCTAACAATATCTTTAACACAAAGAAGAAAGTCTTTTCGAAAGAACCTTAGAGAGAATCTTATACAAGCTGCCCACTAGACTAATAGGTCTATAATCTTCAATACTCTCAGGATTACCTTTCTTTGGAATCAAGGTAATAAAAGCATGATTCACTCCATGAACCCACCGCTTTCCATTGTAGAAATCTGAAAAAAACTCCATAATCTTCACCTTCAACAAATTCCAATACTTCTTGTAAAAACCCATTGTGAAACCATCCGGCCCTGGTGCTTTTGCACTATCCGAAGATGAAATTGCTTGCCACACTTCTTGCTCTGTAAACATCTCTTTGTTATCTGTTCTATTGGATCAATTCCAGCAACTCTTCCAGCAGCAACCGCATTGGCATTATGTTGCACAAACTTTTCCTTTTCGAAGGTATTCTGGCAATACCTACAGTGCCAAGTACCAGTTGGAATGCGTGGTAGGGATATACACTCTGCAGTTAGCCAGTACAAAGAGCATGAGCCCAACAGGAATTTTTACTGATAACGAACAAGTAACAAGTGACAGATATTTCCAATCTGTTTGTATGGAGAAAACAAGAAAACTGCAATTTCAAAATTCCATTGGTTTAAAATACGTAATGTGTAATGAACAATGTTGTAAACACATACCACGGTCTGAATGACCCAAGCATAATGAAATTATAACTATGTAAAAGTAAGTTCCAAAATGTAACTAACTCTCAACTCTCCCTAATTAAGTTCAGGTGCAGGTAAAGGTGATAGGGTAAGGGGGGAAAGGAGGGGGAAAAGGAGGGGGGAAAGTCCTGAAATCAAAAGCAAGTTATGTTCACACATAAACCATTCCCCAGAATTATTGCATCCACAAATATTCAATTTCTCTTTGGAATATCATTAACCACATCATAAGTGTTTAAACAATTGGGAGATGACATTAGAAAACAAGTTTGTCTTCGCTAGAACCTTCAGTTAAGAAATGCATTACAGTCAATCAAGAGCAGAAGTCAAAGGTATCAACTTGAGGCAAAAGATTATATATAAGACTGGTTATAATTTCACGTCGTTTGGAAGTTCATAAGATGAGAGTTACTTTCTTTATTGCCATTGCTAAAATGCATCCAGCACATCAATTGTCATACAAATAAGTGAATCCCGAAAAGTTGCCGATGAAGACAATACCCAAGAATAAAGTTGAAAACTAACCTATGTGAAAAGCCCTCGGACATGTCTCACAACACAATAGACCCCCTCCATCCAAACATATGCTACATAGATCATCATTCTCATATGTAGAGAACTTCCGACTTTTTGATAGGGATATCGACAATTCATGGAGAGAGACCCCATTTGATGTGTAAATATTTTGAAAACTGTAAACAAAGGAAATATCAAAAGAAAACTATGTTTGTAGATACATTAAATGCACCAAGTCATTATATCAATTATAAGATAAAATATGACCAAAAATAACAAGGCTTTGACAACCAAGTCCAAGCAGAAACTTACGGCTTGCGACGACTTGCAAAACCAGCATGGGATTCAAACTGTGAGGGGCTTATCTGCACATTTAAAACAAAAAAGGTCAGAGAATTTAAGATGCAACAAATGCATCGCGGAAAGAAAAAAGAGTACCTCTGAATTGCAGCAAGTGCATAATATTCCAAATCCCCTTTTATAACCAACAAGCAATTTCTGCAACACATCAAATAACCACTTAGTAGGCATGGTTGAAATGGATATTTTTTACATTCAAGCATACTTGGTTTTTAAGGGCGCAAGGCGCACCGAGACGCAAAAGGTGCCTGGAGCCTAGGCGCAGGCACGTTCCTTTCGTATGCGAGGCGCACTGTTTGTAATATATCATATATATCAAGTGTAAACTATATTTGTACTCGAAATAACATGATAAATAATATTATAGTTCTTTAAAGATCAAAATATTCAATACCATTACACTAACAACTAACACACAAACTAAGATAAAAAACATAGTGAGTGAGAGCTTTTTTTAAGATGTTTTTTTTAATATTAAAATATAATAATTTATTAAAATAGTAATATCTTTAAAAAAATTCGAAAGGAACAAAGTCTCTGCGCCCGTGCCCGGTGCCTAAAGCCCCAAGGCCTGCGCCATCTTCATCGCCTGGCTGCGCCTCGCGCCTAGGCGTGCCTTTTAAAACCAAGCAAGCATATTCACACTAACCTGTCCTCGAACAAAATACCCTAGTTCAGTTCCATCTGGCAACCCATCTTCCTCAAATACCAATTTATGCATCCTCAGATCCCTTCAAAAGCAGTATCAAAGAGATTAATTTGTTATACAGTATCAACAAAAAGATCATGCCAAAAGTGACTACCTTAAGTATAATAAACAGAGTGAATATCAAATAGGTAAACAGAATACAAAACACAAAACTACACTTACTTTCTAGTTACTCTTCCCTGACTTTTAGCTTGTGACGAACTGCATTTTGAAGCACTCATAGGAGACTTTGGAACCACAGTTGGCTTGGGTGATCTGAAATAAAGTAAATAAAAACAAAAATAAAACCAATGGCTGAATTAGTAAAACTTTAACAGAACATCTTAATTCAATTCTGTAGATTAGAGAAAAGTATTAGCAAGTGAGTAAATGCAATGTGGAGATTATCTCTGTGCTTTTACATCTAAAAGCTAGCATACAAATTTGACAAGGAGCAAATATAAGTTCTAATAAACATTCATACAAAATTGCTACACTTTGTCATCATCAACAATCATTAACACCCCCACAACACTCATAAATTTGATGAAAATTGAGACCAAAATTCTCATCTGCTGACAGAACTGTCTATGCAGCCAAGGGTTAAAAAGATATTGTCAAATGCCACAAAAACTGTACAAGTCAAATGCCCAATGGATGCTGAAATCAGAAGGATATTTTTTTTCTCCACTTCCAAACTCAAAGACAAACCAAAAACACAAGGGCGTCCAACCATACCTATCACTAGCATCAGCCACCTTGGTTGCATCAGCCACTACAGTTGAGCTGTCTTCAGACTCTTTCATATCCAGACATGAATTACATAGTACCATAGATTTCCCGGAATCAGCTCTAGTAATAGACTCTACAACAATAGAAGAAAATTTAAATGTCCGGACAAATTCCAGTAACAAATGAGAAAATATGTACAGATATAAATAAAAGAAAAAAATCAACCTTTGCAGTTCAAACAAAAGCGGGGTTTCTTCATGGAAGGACCGATCACCATTATCACGGTGTCCTCCAACATGCTCAATGAACTCCCTCTGCACGCCATCATTACATCACGGAGGGTTTTCCCATTCTCCAGGTAAATATACTCTTCTGCAGGCTTGTTCAAGCTACCCGCATGAACCTCAAATAAGGTAGGGGTAATAACCTAAATTAACAATAAAACACAAACATGTGGGTATTTGCAAATTTACAAAATAAATTATCATGAAAAGACAAAATATTAATAAATAATAAGCACTTACTTTAGCCCCCTTGCATGCATTGCAAAAACACAATATCCCAAAGCCTTTGATTATTCCTCGAAGCCCATTACTCCCTGAAGCTCTTGTAACCTGCAAGAATAAAAACATTCAGAAATCAAAATTTTCAATTGGAAGAGCGACACATACAAAAATATCACCTAAGCTTTTTTTTTTCCCACGGACATACCTTCGAGCTTCGAGCATACCTCACGTTTAGTCCCTTGAGCAAACCTGAATCCAAAAGATCTTCTATCTCTGTCGGGAAATCTCTTACAAGCTTGGTTGAGACAATTGTTTCCTGCGTCATTGGAGACTCCACAGCCCCAACTTTGATATCACCATCACCACTTCTGGCATCACTCACATTGACAACAACAGCATCTGTTGCAGCAGTTTCCTTCACTGTCTCCTCCGACGCTTTCAACAAGGAACGAGTAAACCTCCTTACAGGCTTCTCGCCCTTCACCACTTCCTCTATCTTACTAATCAAAACCGGCACCCCTAAATTCCCTTTGCATGGTTCACTTTCTATCACCAAAACCTCCTTTGACTTTTCTTCTTCAACTTTCTTGATTGCATTTTCCAGTTCACTTTCTTTCTCTCCATCCATCTTCTCTTCCTCGTGTTTTTCTTCTAGCAAGTCCATTACAGCCATTTCGGGTTCACTTTTATCCTTCCCTTCCTTGACAACCTCATCTTTGGACATTGTTTCAATAACCCCATCTTTAACTTCCTCATCCTTTTCCAAACCGACCCTCTTCGTCTTCTCTTCTTCACAACCAACCACCTCTCTCTTTGGATCTTCCACATCGCTTTTCGCCTCTTCTTCACTCATCAAATCAACAGATTCCTCCAAAACCCTCACAGATTTCTCCAAATCAGTCATCCCTTTCCCATCCTTGACTTCATTCTTCAATTTCTTGTTGCTCCTGGTACCCGTGCTCCACACCTGTCCTCCACTCTGGGACTTCCCAGAACGAGTTCGACCCAAAGACCCACAGATCTCAGCTTGAACCTTCAAAGCAAACTCGAATTCACGCTTCAGACCCGCCCTTACCTGAGATAGCACCAAGAAATCCCCTGACTCCGTACCGTTCGCCATTCAATTTAAACAAAAAGAAAAGAGCAAAACCCCGGATCAAAACAAGAACCCTAGAGAGACTATTTTCCTGAAGACAAATCAAACCCAATTTTAAAATACATTCATGGAGACGGATTACACGGCATGAACATTGAAGGGATTTCTGGAATACGCAAAGATTAAGTAAAAAGAAGGAAATTAGGGCGTTTAAGGAAGAAAGACTGTAGGCTTTGTTTGACGAGAGGGAAAAAAAAAAAAAAAAACAAAATTGGATAAGGGAAAGGAAGAAGAAAACATACCTTTGTATTTCACGGATGACGAAACTAGCCCTTACTCATCGACGTCGTTTCGGCATATTTTGGGACGTAACTAATTCTTGTTAATTTCATATGGTCTTCATGCTTTTTGGTTTTGCTTCGGAAAACCCTTCTATCTGGACTTTTTAAATTTCAAAGTTCTAAATCAAGTAATCAACCCTAGTAAATCATTGTCTGGTAAGAAGATATATGAGGTCTCATTATTTAAAAAAAAAATCAATGTGATCCTCGTATTATTTTTCTCTCTCAATATGACTCTCCAAATCAAAATAAAAAGTAAACACAGTGTGACCCTTTGATCAATATTTTTTTGTCGTTGATCGTTATAATATTGATGTGACAGTTCACAGTGCTGACGTGATTGTCCACGATTTTTCATAATAGTCTAGGGTGACAGATGACATGACATATTGAATAAATTGGTAACTGAAACATGACATATGAATTGCTAAGTCAGTAACATGGACCACTACATCAACACTTGAACTAGCACTGCAGTACTGTAACAGTCAAAGACGAAAAACGTTGTCAAATGACCACTTTGAATTTATTTTTTGAGTTAAAGGGTCACATTGAGAGAAATAATTATACAAGGGTCACGTTGATTCTTTTTAAAAAGTACAGGGACCTCTAATACCTATTTGCCTTTTGTTTTTAATTTTTTTAATAGATTTTGTATTAAATTTTAAGTAGGCTTGTATAATAAATAAGTATTTAAAGTATATCATATTTTTCATTTAAGTACTTAAAATATTTTTTACTCAAAGTAAGTATTTAAAGTTATCTATTTTGTTAAAATAAGTACTTAAAATATTTTTTTTGATCAAAATAGGTATCTAAAATATTTATTTTTTTATTTAAATACCTAGAGTATTCTTTAATTAATATCACATGCCAACTTTTTTAAACTTAGATTAAAAAGATTGAATAGTTTAAGTGCCTATTTTGACATAAAATATTTTATATACTTATTTTGACAATATATAACTTTAAGTATTTATTTTGATGAAATAATATTTTAAATACCTAAATTAAAAATATAATATATTTTAAATACTTATTTATTTTATGATATAAAATAATAATGCTAATTGCATTACTACATATTATACTTCATTTTTTCTCATTAATCAATTTTAACATTTTAAATAATTTACTAATATGGTTCAATAACATTTATCATATTAAATCGGGAAATTGTATAATTAATACATACATCTTCACCAATGATGTTTTACAGTTTACTTAAAAACGATATTTATAATATTTTAGAAGAAAAAAATGTTAATTATTATTTCTTTTCAGAAATTGTTTTAAAATAATATTACGGTGAAAATAATCAAATTGCATAAACAACCAATAACTTTTAGGCCAATAAACGAACCAAGCGTTCATCGAACTGTTTCTGAACTGGTTTTTTTGTTAGTTTATTTATTAAATGAATAAACATGATCAAGATTTAATGTTTGTTTAATTAAATGAACGAACACGAAAAAAATGCTCGTTCATTCATTTACGTTCGTGAACATTTGATAACACGTTCGTTTATGTTTAGACCTGTTTTAAATATTAAGACTTGATAAATTGTAACCTTTAACTCAATTAATTTTAAACTCAAATAAAAAAAATATTAAAATCATTTAAAAAAATATAAATCCTAAAATTGTTTGGAAATAAAAAAAACATTCTTTCTCAAATATAAACCCAATTAATTTTATGTTTGTTTACATTCGTTCGTTTGTGTTTGTTTAAGTTTGTTTGTTTCTGTTCGTTTATCATTTTAACGAACGAACATAAATGAATAAACTAAATTTCTTAATAAACGAACATAAACAAAAAATCTGTTCGTTTAGCTGTCTGTGTCCGTTCGTTTGTTCGCTTAAAGTTAAATGAACAAACATGAATATACCCTACAAACAGTTTACAAGTCTAATAACTTTACTTATTGAGCAATTTTTTTTACAATTAATGTTACACATTAATTTTTAATTTAAAAATCTTGTTATTTTTTTGTATTACTATCAATATTAATTGATTAATATTGTATAGGTTTAATATAGGATTGACTATTTTAATTTAGGGTCTGATTGTTTTGGGGGGAAACCAATTACGGAATTGGTTTTCCCCGAAATCCCGTGTTTGTTTCACGTAATTCGTTTTTCGAAAAATATTTTTTAGTATTTGGTTGGAGGAAAACTGGTTGGTCAACGTAAAACATTTTCCTAGTCAACAAAATTTCCTTTTTGTTTTCTGGAAAATAACTTACGATCTGGTTTTTCGTAAGTCATTTTCTGAATTTTTCACTTCAAAGAATAAATAATTAAAATAATTTTATTTTATGAACTTAATATTAATAAAATATTTTAATATCATTTTAATCAAAATATTAATTATTAAAATATTTAAAATATATTTATTAAGATTTCTAATAATATAATATTATATTTTTAATGTTATAATAAAATAATCAATTATATTATAATAATATAAGATTATTTTTATTTTAATAATAATAAATTATTAATAAAATTTATATTATTTATTAATTTCATAGAAATAATATTAAATTATTAATAATGAATAATATTATTTATATTTAATATTAATATAATAATCTAATAATATTTTAATAAAGATGTTTAAAATATACTAATTAATATTTTTAAAATATAATTTAACACTATTAATTTAATAAATAATTAATATAATTTATAATGTTTTTATTTCAATAAAATATACCAATATTTTTATTTTTATTAATAAAATTATAAAAATAATATTTAATAATAAATTAATTATTTTAATATTTTAAAAATAATAATATTAAGTTTTATGATAAATAATATTATTTATTGTATTTAATATTTGTAATAAATATTTTTTTAAAAACTCATCAACTAGCGGAAAAAAGGTTTAAACAATATCTTCCAAACATCGTAAAACGTTTTCGAGATGTTTTTCAGAAAAATGTAATTCATTTTACGGAAAACATTTTTCAGAAAACGTTTTCCATAAATGTAATTCATTTTCCATAATTCAATTTCCATAATTCAATTTACAGTAATTCATTTTCCAGAATTCAATTTCCATAAAACAAATTACAACCAAATAAATAGACCCTCACAAATGTCAAAATTCAAACATTTAACATTCCTTAAAGAAGATGATTTCTCGTCCCACTAGACCAAATGAATGTTAGATAAAAAAACTTTATTATTAATTTTTTGTTAATTAATCTGTAGTGATTACAAGATAGTATATCTTCATAATTATTTTAATCATTGATAATGTACGCACACTTTACAAACACAACTATTAAACTTAAGATCTCAAGCGAGAACAATACCCTTTTTAACGATCTAGATCACTCAATAGATTTAAATATTAACGATGCCTTGTTCTAAATCTTTAATCAATCTTAACCATAGAATTGATTTTTTTATAAACAAATAGCTCTCCGATAATAGGTCCTTTAAATCAGTAATATTTTTTAATAAAAATAATTTAATTAGAGGTATATATCAGGACACGTGCCTCTCTCTATTGTAAGAGAAGAATGAGTGCCAGGGCAGATAAATATTACATATTTCTTCCTTGTCATATTTTTCTTTTTCTTTTTTTTTTTTTATAAAAATGATCACATTAAAATTATAAGAAAAATTATAAAAGCAATATAATTAGACAATCCTCCATCGTCAGCCCACTAGCTCTCATTGTTGAGTTATAAAGGAGAAGGCGGCTCTCTGGCTGCTGCTGGGGCAGCTTCAGTTGCCGTGGCCAGTAGGCGTGCGCTGCTAAAGACTAGGAGTTTAAATTTCGAATGTGTTTGTGGTTACAAATTATGAATATAACATATGTTATTATAATCATTGTAGGTATTATGATCGGAATTTTTTTTAATTGAAACTCTTTTTTTATGGGTTAACTGCATGATTGATTAATTATATTTGTGTTTTTGTTCACTTTTCCTCCCTACTTTCAGAAAAATAATATATAGTCACTTTCGTTTATAAGTAATTAAAATGTGGTCAATACGAGTTACCTATCATTAAATATTTTGGTATAATCAAATATTTTGTTGTTCAAATTTGGTTAAAAGTAGACTTAAAATGAAGGAGGAACCGAATGAATAATGAAATCAATGATTAAATCGTAAAACTATCAAAATACATAGTCAAATTTTGGATTTTTCGAATAACTCGAAATTTCCAAATTTTAACTTGACTACTGGAAATCGAATTGATAATTCGAGTTGACAAGGATAACTCGAAATTGAAAAAAATAACTTTTTCTAATTGAAAAAAAATCGATCATTTTCTGCTTCTGTTCAGCCCAAATGTTGAAAAAATCCGGGTTGGGACGCCTGATGAGGGTGCAGGAAGGTGTCGATGAAACAGCGGTGACTGCCGACTCCTTAAGTACTTCCTTTTGCTTTTCATCTGCAAAGCAAAGCAGTGGTTCTTCGCATACTTGCTGCGCCGACGAAGGCGGGACTGGCTTAAAGTCTTGCAGCTTGGCATATTGTGACATTAGGTGAAACATGTAATCATAAACACGGTCCATGCTTATACTTCCCATCAGTTGTTGTGCACTTTTCCCAATTGCCTCCACCTGATTAGCCAAATTATTCAGAAAGAAAGAAAGACTGTACTACTTCTGCTTTCCATCAGTTGTGTTATAATGTACTACTTTTGCTTTTCACCAGTTGTTGTGTTCATTCCCCAGTTTAAGAGGCAGCAGATCATACCTTTGATGGGTTTGTATTACCCCAGTCGACGGCGAACTTGATAGAGCGACATAAATCAACGGAAGAGACGGGCCAGTAATTTAACTTCGGAACAGGCCATGGCATAGCCTTCAGCATATATCTTATAACTGCAGAGAAAATGAAGCACATATGTCAGTATATATAACATTTAAGATAAAATAAGTTTTTCTCTTCAAGAAAAAAAACAACACAACTATGCATTATCAGATGCAACCATTGCATATCTCTGCAATGCAATCCAAGGGGAAAGAATTGTCTGGAAGAAATTTGGGACAGAGTATCATTTGGTTAGAAGAAAAGAGCGAAAAAAGGCAGGTGCTGTTCATTCTCAGGTCCCAAGGACTAAAAATGTAATGTGTTAGTATCACAAGCCCATGACCGACGCTCGCACAGCAAATCCAAGGTGTTTGTACCCACCAGGACAAGCTCAATAGCTGAAACATTCTAAATGGCTCGTCTGCTTAAAGCATAGAGACTGAGTCGAATACTATGGTAGCCTGTAGTTTTCAAGCTTTTTTTAGGACTCTCAAGGAATACAGTCTAGGGAAGTTCCAGGCATATGGCTATGTTCTCTGGACTCAAATGTGAATGATGAATATAATCATGCGTGTTACAGTGATCAGTAAAAAAACAAGTGAACTGTCTGCTGCAGTATTATCAGTCAAAGAGAACTCACCGATAATTACACTGGTCGGATAGTTTGGAATGTTCATACCCAGCCTTTGCTTCCTCTGTCCAGTTCTGTATGGAAAAATGAAATGCCTCATCAAATAACATACATATTATTGTCATAATTGCATTTGGTTGTTAGAGCTATCATTTCTACAGTGGAGAAACTCATCCATTCAGAAAACAAGAGAAATCAAACTAACCTGACGAATAATTTCTGTACCCCACAAATTAGTGTCATTGCACTGCATTAGATCCATACGTATTGGAGATTCAACATCTGGGTTACCTTTCCAATGGGCACGAGCGATCTTCTTCGCCCAGGTTTGAGCTTGTGAACCCTGCTTAATTTTTTTGAACTGCACATCCCAAGGCTGTTTATTTACTTCTGGCCTGCAGACAAGTAATTCATAAAGACATGCACAAGAAGAATGAAATCAATATTCACCAAAACTAACACACATCAATCATAAACCAAATCTCTTATACCACAACAGTAGCTGAGGCTAATGAAAAATTGCAAGATAAAAGCCCAAGAGGGGCACTAAATATATACACACATCCCATGATCCAAAAGATTCACATAACACCAGAAACCCTTTAAGAAAACACTTGGCTTAACATTCACATTATGACTCGACAAACTTATGGGAGTAATTGAACATGAAACATGGATAGCACTGACATACAACGGTACAAATCTAAGTAGACAAACTTGCACAAAGGAACACAATGTTGTTAAGCTTGCAATTTTTCACACAATTCATACTTACATTTAACATCCTATCTGCATAGAATCATTAACAAATTGAGACCTGGGGCTTAGTCCACAACAAGTTATCTGCAATCCCTTGTATCCCCAGATTATGAAATTGCTATTCATATCATTTCAAGTTTGGGATAATTTTGCTCACAGATAACGCACATACACATCATTTCAGTAATTCTTACCAACCCCAAAGGACCAGTCAGGAAAAGGGATGTCTAAGTGAGCCTCGGTCGTGCAATACCGGAGCAGAGGCAGCGGCAATGACCCGTTTTTGACTCGATTCGAAGGCTTGTCCATGAAGTCAAACATGATATCGACGTCAGGGACCATCCCAGTATACTTTTTTCAGAAGCTGTAAAATTCCCCATAGGGTAAACATCAATCTACTTTGTACACAATCATAATACAGAACAACAAATAGTTTCCCTTCCACAATAACAGCACGAAACGCCGCCTGCTTCTTGGCTTTAGTTATGATATCAATGGATATCCATGTTTCGAACCATGGTTCAAGATCACGGTAAATGAACTTGAAAAAGTTTGGGCATTTTGGAGGACTACGAGATGAGACTAAATCCCGCCGTTTCTCCATGTTCTCTTCTGAGGATTGAGCGCCACCGTCGGTGGAGGCGTATCGACAAGTTAGATAGGAGCATTGGATGATTTTGTAAGCGCGAGTATGTAGGGATTCATCGGTGAAGTTCTTCCACGGAAAAATATGCCACGGCGTCGGCTTTAAATTATGACCCACGATGGTTTTCGTTTGTGAAGCGAAATTAGCCACCTAAATCTCCCCGAAAGAAAAAGAAACAAAATCATCGGAACATTCTTCGTTTCATTACAAGCAAGTATATATAAAGAAAAGGGTTCGACCTTGTAGATGAGGAGGGCCATAAGGGAAAGGAAAGAAAAGGAAACGATGGAGAAGAAGAGATAAGAAGGCGACCGAGGGTGTGAAGAGTGAACCTATAATTGTTTTTTCGCCATATTTGAATTTGCTTTTGCTGCTTCACCCTGAAAATGGTGTCCTCTGCTGTTTGTTTTCTAGGAAATTAATAAACAAACAATCAACAAAAAGTTCAAACGATCATTAGTGATTCCTTTTCCAGGAAAACTTTTACTTAGATTATTTGTGTGTGTTTTGCATGGTGGTTTTGGGTTTTCTACGTTCGACCGCCCCACCTATATGTATATCATTCTAAATCAATCCTCAAACTTTTGGACATTTCAGTTTTATCCCTAAACTATGACCTTCATTCTAGATTGGTCCTCAAACTTTTTGAACATTTTAATTTCATCCCCAACTATATGTACATATTAATCACATCTCTTGTTAACAAAATCTCAGACCAAGTTATATTATTATATATTTTAAAAAATATTTTTTTAACCGCAGCTGAACCTAATTACATATTTTTATTCTTTGTCACACATAAATGATAAACCCTAAAATTATACCTAAATTTATAATGATCCAAAATTTAATATGTATTTAGTGGGCAGGTGGATGTGGGGTGGGCAAATGCGGGGCGGGTAAGGTCTCAAACCCATCACCCGCGACGGGTACCACTTTTTAAATCCACACCCACCCACTACCCACTAAAGCTATCCCTATCCCCACCCCAATTGGGACGGGTACGGTGCGAAATCCACGAAATTATACCCGTTTGCCATCCCTAATTGATATGATATATATAATTTTTTAATAATGTAGCATTACCTTATGATGACACATCAATATTACCATTAATTTTTTAACTATGAATGACCAAAATGAAACCAAAACATAGGTATGATTTTGAAACAAAAAATAGTTTAGTGATCAAAACGGAATAAAAGTAATAGTTAAGGTACTATACTTGTAATTTACCCTTAAGAAGTTGGCAAAAGAATCCTAGTAAGATATAACAAAAAAAGGTGTAAGCAAAAGCAATCCTCACCATTCTCCATCTTGTCAAACAAACATGCTACAATGTTAACTTGCAGCAAGAAGATTAGCCATTGCTAAAGCAAGTTTCCAATGACTTTAAAAGAACACAGCAACATAATATTTGTTTATAACTGAGGAATTTACAGTCATGTGTCTGTCATTACCAAATAACCGATGCAGATACACGATTTCGCTTAACTCGACATACAGGAACATGGAAGCCTCGTCTTCATGAAGCTTCCATCTACCTACGGCGAAAAGAGTACAAGGACTTCTAGTAATGTACATATGAACATCTGATGCCTGTTATTGAACCACTACATTAACCTCTGTTACATTAGATACATCCTTGACTTAGTTATACAAACAGATGGCGATGAGGCAAACCTGGTATTAGATAATTAATCTACTCGGTGTCACTATTGGCATCTAAAAAGCTAAATTCTCTGTATCCATCAAGCTTGACTAGTAATGTTCCGCGGTTTTCTTCGCGCCACTGAACATCTTCCTTCTCGAGAAGCTTAATGATCTGCATGCATCAATCAGTGACATAAAATACTACACAACAAGAGCAAAAATTACACTGTCCTAAGATGAGCATAAAGTTAAAGGACTGCAACAAAGAAAATGAATCAAAGTTAGCTGGATCAGGGATGATTTAGATACATACCGACTGTTTCAGTTTTGACTCCCCAATACCATGTGTTCCACATCCAGTGATAACCCTCAGAGTTCGAACCGCTGAAGCAGAATAACGAAAGTAATAAGTACACCACAAACACGCAAATACTCACACAATCAGGATGAACAAATGCTTACAAGGAACATGTATTCCAAATAGAAGGTGTAGTTTTAAAAGCCTCATTGCTTGTTTGACATGTTGCCCATGCAAATCAATGGTTATCACATTTTCAAAGGCTTTGTTCCTGTAAAGACAGGTGATATTAGTTCGATTGACCACAAGAAGAGTAGAAGGTGGAGAGAAAGAGAGAATTTTTCATGTTGAGCGATTCAGATAGTTATATAAGGACTAACCTAACTTTAAATATGTCCTGGCTTGCCCTTTCATCTGCTTCCCGTGCCAATTTAGTCTGTACCTTTCCCTATTCAGATGCAGGGTATCATCATGTCAGAATTGTATTCTAAAGCAAACTCTTGTAGCGAATTTGACATACGAAATCATATTGAAGTCAAGCAGAGAAGAAGACAAGAAAACATTATGGGATAGTATCTCCAGTTTTCATGTTCCGAACATTTTGATTGCCAGTATTTATTTCCTTTTCAAAATTTTCCAATAACATGGCATCTCATCTCAAACTTGTATGTCACACGTTGTGATTCAGAAAATTCACCCAAGTAGAATACGCACCTGGTCAGAAAGATATGCGGCATACCCCAACTCCCCCTTTGAATATGCAGTAACAGCCTGTAGAAGAATGATCATTCCATCGCCAAATAGTCATAAAAAATAAAACTCAAACTGGACAATGCAACTTATATTTGTGAATATTCATAATATAAATATATATTCGGTTTATAGAAATAATAATAATATCTATATTGCTATAAACACCGTACCTTCTGATGATAGGATCTCATAGAATCCCAATGCTCATTGGCCCTCTTTCTAAATTTGTGATACTCGTCTCCCTTGACTACAAATCCAGAAATTTTGAATTATAAAGAAAAAGTTAATGCAGAAAAGTGCAGAAATGTATATATATAGGTTGTACAAATGAGTTTATGTTGAATAATTTGAAAAACTGGTTATAAATGCCACATGAAAAGGGAAATAAAAATAACACAAACCCTAAAAAAGCACATTTAATCAAGAATCACCTTAAGTTCCTTTTTATTCTTTTTGTTTCAGATTACCTTTTTCAAGTCTAACAGAGAAACTAGAATGATCGAACCAATTCAATGGATATTGATATGTCTTTGTTTCTCAGAATAACTTAAGTGGGAAGTTATTCAAGTAGATCTCAATACTTGTATATTCAAATTTTGGTAGGACAAAGAGAAGAAAAGATGTATCATTGCATATGTACCTAACATAGTGACTAATAATGAAAAAATAATTTATATTTTAGGAAATTTTCAGTATTGCCCTTTTAATAAAGATGTTCAAGTACAATTTGTAGTAGAGCTTCAACAAAATTGACTTTTTATAGTCATATTCATAATCCAATTTCGAAATAAGAGGTCACAGTACTAACAAGCCCATACATACAATAACATGCAAAGCCTCAGAAAACAACAAGACAATACCATAGATATCCTGATGAGTCTCTGCATCAGTCGATGGAAAAATATCAATAGCTGGTCCCAATGACTGCATCTTCTTCACTACATTCCTCCAACTCAGAGTCTGTGGTTCATGTTCAGAATGCTTGGGGATGTTAAATAAAGAATCCAACACCTCTTGAGGGAGATTCAACATATTACTCCTTGGGGAAGATGGTGGCATATCTTCAGAACTAGCAAGAACCTTTGCGTAACTCCTATAATTAAAAGAGAGGGGCATATAAAATTTCAAGTCATGATCATGGGTTTTTATACTTAAGATCATTAAAACGGGAGAAATTTTCAAAAGCTTTCTACAATACTACAACAGCCAAGGCAACACTCAAGTATTCTAAATCAAGTTTTTTACAAGATTCCTCAGATAAATGTATTCAAAGATAACACATACATGAAGATGCACCACGGTTCTCTCAAACAAAAGTAATTCTCAGCTACAATTGTATTGTCAGTATAATTAATATGCAAATGCGAGTATTAAAACACACAAACACACACACACACAACAGACAAAACACACATTTAGACCACTCTGACAAACAACCTGAAGAGATTTTCTTTTATACTGTGATTAGGAAATTGTTGTCTCATTCTTTCTGCAGTTTCTTCTCTGTCTAGCAGGCAATTAATTCATCAACAAGAATGGTTTCTCATATAAATTATCACATTCTTCAAGACATGCATGAAATGAAATAGCTCAACACCATTTAGTCATCTACAATGTTATGTTATTTTGTACAACTCTAGAATGAGAAGAAGCACCAAAAGAGAAAGAATAAATGTCAAGGAGAATGGCAGACAGACTAAATTACCTGCAACTATAGCCCATTGACCATATACTATCTTGGAGTTCGCTTTCTGATGAATTAGACATGCAGTCAGATGTCCTATCAGCTAACTGTTGGAAAATTTCAAAAATCACCATTCAGAATACAATGCAATGTAAAATGCTTCAAGGAGATTTCAAGTTATTTGAGCAAAAGCAAAGTAATGCAAATTATGAATAATTGCAATATAAAACTATGCTTCACAAATATAATCTTATACATGCACCAGTGCTCTTGTCCATAAACAAGGGGGTTTTTGTCCTGTATTACTCCTTTAATGACTAACTGAATGAATATATATGAAATGAAAGTGCCCTTTAGTTTGGTTTGCTATATAGAGATGGACCTTGACTTCAAAGCCTCAACCAAACTCTCATTTGAATCAATGAGTGAAATGATCCACAAAACTTGAAACACTTTAAGCAAGAGAAAAAAAAAATATTACTTACATTGTCTGCACATTCAGTAATGAATTCTCTATCCTGTTTACTGTTAAGATTGTCATTCAAATTCTTGGCTTTTTCAAAGGAGGAACCAGATAAATCAAGTAATGTATCCAAAGTCTAGAAAAAGTAATACACTGAATCAGAGTGACATTCTTCAAAAGGATGACAAATCAGAAATAACCATCCCATAACAGTAATGTACAAAAAGCTGTATTTCATTAGCTTATCCCTTAGTTACCACTTTTTTTAAGATTGATTTAACTCAAGAGACGATCATCCCAAGAGGGAAAGAATCACAGGCAGAAGTATGAAGCCAACACAGTCAACCCTGTCTTAAGCAGTACCAAATTTCCTTATTTGCCTATTTTAAAGGTGACAATCAATTTATACCCATAGATTCCCTGATCTTTGGATGCACTAATGTATGGTTAAAGATCAGTTAATTCTTACAAGAGAAGCATCTGTAAAGCACCATGTATTCTATAAAGGGGGCATTTATCCAAAAGTGAATTTTATGTTTTTTTTCCCAGTTAATTCCTAAGAACATCAAAATCTACAAAAAAAAGTACATATTTTTAGGATTCACGATACCTTCTCCACATTGTACCCACACTGACCTGCAAAAATAAATTTTTTTTTGTTCATTAACATGAAAAAAAGAAAATTAAACTAAGTATTCCCTGAATTGTTTTACGAATAAATAAATACACTCACATAAAACATCTCTAACAACAGCCATGCTAAGTTCACACTCGTCCCCAAGCATTGAGCATAAAAACTGTTCCTCATCTTCCTTCACCAACACCGATCTCGCAGGTGCTGCTGCAGCCGGGTCTCGCCATGGGCTTGACCTAACGTAATCTTTCCCCAAAACCGTCGAAACAGTCCCCGTTGCCGCTACCGCTCGCTTCTGCTGCTTTCCTCCTCTGCTACGTCTCCTCCCGTTATTCAGATTTTGAACGCAGCCCGTTTCGGCAAAACCGGAACCGGAAAAACCCGATGATGAAGACCCACTCGAGACTGAGCTCGTCGACGGATCAGGATCTTCACTGTTGTTCCCGTTATCGATCAAATTGGATAGAATCTCAGCCGCTCCTTCCAAATCTCCGTTGGCTTGATTATAAGCTAACGTTGCTTCATCTAGAGAGATCGAACCAAAGGCTTCCATAAACGAGTTAAGAAGCACTCCTCGTGATTCATTATCTTCTCCTTCTCGCCGCCGATCCATCTTACGTGACGCGTCAAATGACGAATCGTTGACGGCCGGCGTTTTCGTCGCAGGTTGTCGCCTCTTCTTCTTCGAGGTACTTCGCTTCATTTATGGGGATGGTGAACCCTAATTGCGAAGAAGAAAATATAAAATTGCAGACTAAATTTGGAAGATGAGTTATTAAAAAGTTGAACGTTGAGTTATTTCTTCTTCTTTTTTATATATAATTATTATTCATTTTTTCATATCCGGAGATGACTTTGTTGAGATTCTCTGCGGTGGGGGACAGGGAAAGTTTAGGATGCTTTGAACCCACGCGCTTTTAAAGAATCTTGACTTGTTTGCTATTAAATTGTCCGTTTGATGGCTAAATACTTAAATGTGATTGGTTGAGTAATCTAGGTAAAGAGTTATCAAGAAGAAACGCGTGGCATGTTCGGATTCACAGGATATAGGATATAAATATTTAGGGTAAACTGCATGTGTAGTGCTCCAATTATCACTTTTATTTTATTTTGTTTTATTTTGATCTCACGTCGTTAAAATAATTAACGATGATACTAAAGTGTGATTATAAAATAATATCATGTTATTATTAAAAAATAATTTTAAACGTTACATCAATAATTTTGTTAATTTTTTTATTTTGTGGGTGACCAAAATGAAACTAAAATATAATGTTAGATTAATTTTTAAGATAAAATAGTTAAATGATCAAAATATAACATAAATGATAATTAAAGTATTAAACATATAGTTTATCCTAAATATTACAAGATTAAATTTTAGGTAGGTCTAGCGTGCATGATTATAAAAAGAGAAAATAAACCCAGTGACAAAAAATGCCTTATAATATACGATTTTAACCAATTTTTTTTGGATTTGCCAAAATGACCAACTAAATCGCAATGCGATCGATAATTCGCAACGCGATCTCCGATATTGCAAATCAGTTTCCATATTCGCAACGCGATTCTGACTATCGCATTGTGATTTTCCAAATCCGCGTTGCGATTTTCCGACTATCGCAATGCGAATATGTAAATCGCAATGCGTGTATGACTATCGCAACGCGAATATGTAAATCGCAACGCGATTATGACTATCGCAATGCGATTCTGACTATCGCAACGCGATTCTAACTGTCGCAATGCGATTTTTAAAGCGCCATTATTATCGCAACGCGTATTTTTTTCAAATTCCAAATACGAATATTAATATATCGGAACACTGAACCGTCTACAGTATATCCCGTAATCGCAACTCATAACCTAAAACCCTAAATCACAACTCAGTCCCATCTCCATCTCTCACTCTCTAAGGCGACATCCGTCCCCATCTCCGACGAAATCAGTCCCCATCTCCGGCGAAATCCGTCTATCTCCATCTCTCAGAGCCACCCTCACAATCATTCACGGTCAAAAATGGAAAATCAACCAAATCAACCACCGAGGGTTAGTTTTTTTAATTATTTTTATTTTGAAAATTTTGCATTATTATTAGGTTTTTCATATTGAAATTGATGATAAGTTTACTGGTAATTTCAATAATAGATTAACCATTTCATTTAGATTGCTTATTAAATTCATTCGATTGCTGCCAATACTGCTAAACTGTTTAGTCTTTAAACCCTGTGAATTTAGTATTTGTCTTTGTTTTGTCTTTTGGTTGAAGTAATGCAGTCCATTCAAGTTTCAATTTTAGTATTTGAAACCGAGAATCGCAACGCGGAATGAAAATCGCAACGACAGAATCGCAATGTGATTTTAGTTTCGCGTTGCGATAGTCAAATTCGCGTTGCGATAGTCATTTTCGTGTTGCGATTTTCATTTTCGTGTTGCGATTTTAAGTTTCAGAAACTATTCTTCTTCTGCAAATTGAAACTTGAATGAATTGCATTACTTCAACAAAAAAACAAAGACAAATACTAAATTCACAATGTTGCAAATTTAAGTTTGAAGAATAAACTACTACTCTTTATGTTTATTGTTCTTGGTATATCTTCACAGTGTAGTTTTTGGTATATCTAACTTGGTATGTTTATTGTTTTTGTAGAACTTTTATTCGGCTCAATTGACCTTAAGAAATAAATTAAGCCTGGCCAAAACAATTGCGTCGAAGCTTTCACCTGCACAAAGAAAAATATTTGAGGATACTTGCTTCGGGCCATGGCTGAAAGTACAACATCCGAGTGGAGATGCTATGTTGACCCATATGTTTCTTCAAACCATGACTAGCGATCTACCAGAGACTATACAACGTCGTGATGAAGAGATATAGTTTGATTTTCCACCAGCGTATAGGTGTTTTGGGCGGGAGGAGTTTTGCTTAATCACCGGTCTACGCTTCGGACACGATGATGTAGGTCGGTACACTAGACATATTATCCGCCTATCATGGTTATCCCGGGTTTTTCCTGAGCTGTCAATGGAGAAGCCGAATTTACACGTGGAAGACTTGACGAGATTATTGAATAAGAAAGATAGTTTTACTCGGATGAATGGCGTCGATGTTGTCCGAGTATGCCTTCTAATACTTTTGCATGCTGGCTTTTTAGGCAGAGAGGCCAGACAACCTATTCCTAATGATCTAATTAAATTGGTAGAGGACCTAAATGCATGGAACCTGTTTCCGTGGGGTTCGTATCTATGGAAAGCTACATGGAATAAGTTGTCGTCTGCCTTTGATGATCGAAAAAGTTTGCGTGGCGATGGTTCCAAATACACTTTGTCAGGCTTTATTTGGGCCTTTAAGGTAAGAATTTTTATATAATGTTTCCAAAATTATAATTAATTATTATTTAACAATTACTAATGTTTGTTATTATATTGTTTGTAGAGTTGGATATTTGAGGCATTTCCCGCTATGCAAACATATGCATTAAAAACTGCTAATGATATTCCTAGGGCTATTTCCTGGAAGAGGAAACGGACCTTGCAGCAATGGGAAGATTTACTACCGTATACGACAATAAATAATGTAAGTTAACACAAATACTACCATATGTTTATAAACAAGTTATTATTAGTACACGTTTAACTTTGTTTGAGCTTTTATATTGTTAGGAGTCCAACACTCCATTACAGAGGCTGACACCCACGGAAGCTGAGCTTGCCACTGATTGGTGGCAAGCTAGTAAGCATTTTTTTGATGGCACGGATGATGAGCAGCCTCCACTTCGAGAGCCATCACCTCACCCAGAGCCATCACCTGATCGACCTGACTGTACACTTCCACAACGAGAGCCATCACCTATTCTGTCACATCATCGAGCCTCTTCTCCACCATCACCTCATGATAGGCGACCGTCAAAGATGCCACGACGTTTATCTCCCTGTTCTCCACATCCACCTCCACGGGATGAGTTAGGGGAGTTACGTGATGAGGTCAATGCCTTGCGTGAGGAGGTCAGTACTTTACGCGATGACAATGGTGCATGGCGTGTTGAGGTGTCTACTTTACGTGGTGAGGTAGTTGTTCTACGTTAGATGGTAGCATCGTTGCAGAATGAGGTTCATACTCTACGCAACGAGGTAAGTTTAATATTTTTCATATTTAACTTGATGATAAATTTACTCGTAATTTCACTTAGATTAACCATTTCACTTAGATTAACCATTTCACTTAGATTGCTTAGTAAATTCATTCGGTTGCTGCCAATACTGCTAAACTGTTTATTCTTTAACCCTGTGAAGTTAGTATTTGTTTTTGGTTGTCTTTTGGTTGAAGTAATGCAATCCATTCAAGTTTCAATTTGCAGAAGAAGAATAGTTTACTTTCTCAACGCGGAAATGACTTTTGCAACGCGGAAATGACTTTCGCAACGCGGAAATGACTATCGCAACGCGAAAATGACTATCACAACGCGAATTTGACTATCACAATGCGAATTTGACTATCGCAACGAGAGAATCGTAATGCGAAATGAAAATCGCATTGCAATTCTCTCGTTGCGATAGTCAAAATCGCGTTGCGATAGTCATTTTCGCGTTGCGATAGTCATTTTCACGTTGCGATAGTCATTCGTGTTGCGATTTTAAGTTTTAGATTCTATTCTTCTTCTGCAAATTGAAACTTGAATGAATTGCATTACTTCAACCAAAAGGCAAAGACAAATACTAACTTCACAGTGTTGAAAATGTAAGTTTCAAGAATAAACTACTACTCTTTATGTTGTCATTGAACCTGCACTAAACCTATATGTTGTCATTTTAAATGTTTATATAAGTGATTACTTCTGGAATGTTATCTGATGCATTTTGTGAACAATGATAGAATAATGACTTGGGTGAATACCGTGCAAGTTTGAAATATATTTGTCTTTGTTTTCACTGTTTAATATCATGTCTGTTTATTTACTGATTTATGTATTAATTTATTTTTAGCGGCCCGCTAAGGTGGATGCTCTACGTCGGGTTTTTCTTACAAGACGGAGTTCACGCATCAGACGGCGTGCACGTGCCATTAAGTCTCCGTTCACCCCAATAGTGCGAAGAATCCGTAAGAAAAAGCCCGACTCACCTGTCATCGTTAAAGAGGCCTCCCCTATCATTCAAGAGGCCCCTATCATCCCTCAAGAGTCCCATCCCACCGTTCAAGAGGCCACTGTCATCGTTGAAGAGGTCCCTCCCAACATTCTAGAGCCCGATTCACACGGCATAATGTATCGAATTATTGAGAAACCCCCTCACGTGCCGGACATGATGGATGACTGTTGGCTTTCGTATAAGTTACCGGCCAGTACCATTCCCGCAGATGAAGTGGAGAGGAAACAACTACGGGAAACAATTCTGGATAATACCCTTTGGGCTAAGACCGCAGTTGATTTTTATCTACATGAGCGGAGCCAAGGGTGTTACGCTGACATATACAAACTCAACGATGATATGCATTTGTTGATTGATCGGTCTTGGTGGGGTGTGTTATTAGGGGTTGAAGACAATGAATATTTCGATGGGGGGGTAAGTATTATATTTATTCTTATATTTCATTTTGATTAATTTTTTTTTAAATTTATGTAATTCACTAATATATGTCTTTTTTTGTAAAACAACATATTGATGCATGGGTGTCACGTCTTCTAATAGTAAGGGCTTTGAAGAAAAATAAAAATAAAAAAAATACGCGATATACAATTATGCCGACGTCTTTTCACGTAGTTCACTTAAAGAATCAACGAC